TGAATTCAGTAGAGTGACTGAAATGGATGAGAGTGGGAATTTTGCAGATGGCATCCGTGTCCATGGAATCTTTGGTAATGATACAACAGGTGCCTAGAGGCAAAAAAAGGAAGTCACAGATTCATGTATGCATGTTACCCAATTATTCCTTGGTTATGTAGTCACTCATCCATTCATTCGAAACAGGCTACCTCTCCAGAGGAGAGTAGGAACAACACAGAATGATTGCTGAAATATTGGGAGTGGGGCATGTCAGAGAGAGCAAAGTTTTCTTGAAACGCCCCCCCCCCCATCTTCGCTCAACACTAAGTGGAAGCATATGATTCAGCTACCCAGTAAAATAAAGACCTATTTCTCATTGAGAAATGTGGCATAAATAGCTACTCTTAAGTTGAAAGGTGTCCCAAGAGTATTTCAGCAGCTGACTAGATCCCTCCTTTTGATAATGGCCAGTGCAAAAGAAGACAATGACAGACATTGAGGGATATAATTTTACAAGATGCTCCAGTTTGCTTGTGGACCTCGAGGCATTATGAAAGTCATGCTTTCTCTGACCTGCTGGTATGCAGACAGACAGCACTACATCACTCTTGCTGTCTGCTCTTGCTCACACTGTTTATGTTTTAAAGCGTTTGTTTCATACACATCTTCCAGAGCAATTATGCAATCAGACGTCTCAACCTCACACCGTGTGTGGTGTTTGCAGTTTTAAAGTCCACACACCACACGTGTGTTCTCTCAGGTGTGTCAGTTGTATTGGTGAGATATTGCAGCACTTTAAGAAAATTGTCAAGAATGTAGAATTGGGGGGGGGGACTCTTAGGGCATGTGGAGGTGCCATGGCAGCTGCAACAGGGGTGCTATTTGGTTAGGGAAAGGAAGAGTTGCAGGAATCTCTATGAGGTTCCATTTTTTTGTTACTTTTAAGCAGGCACTAAGTATTTATTTATTGTTCTGTCCAGCCTTTCTTGATGTTTGTTTTACACTACTGGTGTTTGCCTGGTTTTTAGTTTTGAATTTATATTTTAATTTTTTTATTGTATTGCTTTTATCTCTTGTTGGAAGCCGCTGCGAGGGGACATTGTTCTAAAAGGCGGTTTTCAAATATTTAAAGGAAATATTTGGTACAAGATTAAGTTAGGACTGTCACTATACTGATGGACCAATCCGGATATGAAAGTAAATAAATACATAAATAAATAAATGCTTATATGCATCCGTATAAAACATACATGGATAACCTTTTTTGGCTCAATGGCCTCTTTGTCCTCCAGGGACCCCTCTGGGGGATGCATGCCAGTTCTCCGCAAATGTTTCTGACCCCTACACAAACATCAGCAATCACACACATACACCATAGTTTTCAACTGTTCTGAAAATGCCAGGACTGCCATGAAAACCCTACAGCCATCATAGCTTTTTATTATGACATACAGAGGTCCAAATTCTGCAAGCAGGGAAAGGGAGCAGGGGCAGGGAAGGGTGGGGGCAGGGGAAAGAGGAGGCAACCTGGCCCCTCATTGTGGTGCAGCAGGAGCCACGGGCAGGGTTAAAGGTGGCAGCATGGGCCTGGCTCATGCAGTCACAAAAGGACCCTTCAGCAACCATAGCCACTGATCATAGAGACTACTTTGCTGTCGTGGAAGAGCCGCCTTGCAAACATCTGGTGCAGGTGCCTCCTCTGACGCCCAAGGTGGGCTGATGGAAGCCTCACAGTTTCACTATATAGCATCTAACGGTGCCTGCATATAACAAAGACATTTGCAGGTATAGTATTGTTACATACCCCTGCTCAGCCAGCCCCATCCTTTCCCCATATTTCATCAGCAGTGTGCATATATAGGGAGGACAGGGTGGGGGACAGGACACACTGATTTAGAATAGAATGTTCCTATTTTCATCTGAGGAGTGTTGGAGAGTAACTATGAGTCATCAATTCCCCACCCCTGCTATACTCAGTCTTGTATATGTACATGTACACACTCAAACACACACACACACACACACACACACACAACACTTATTTGCTGACTCATTGTTACATAAAAGGTAAAGGTAAAGGTACCCCTGCCCGTACGGGCCAGTCTTGACAGACTCTAGGGTTGTGCGCCCATCTCACTCAAGAGGCCGGGGGCCAGCGCTGTCCAGAGACACTTCCGGGTCATGTGGCCAGCATGACATCGCTGCTCTGGCAAGCCAGAGCCGCACACGGAAACGCCGTTTACCTTCCCGCTAGTAAGCGGTCCCTATTTATCTACTTGCACCCGGGGGTGCTTTCGAACTGCTAGGTTGGCAGGCGCTGGGACCGAGCAACGGGAGCGCACCCCGCCACGGGGATTCGAACCGCCGACCTTTCGATCGGCAAGCCCTAGGCGCTGAGGCTTTTACCCATAGCGCCACCCGTGTCTCCATTGTTACATAGGCATGTGTAAAATTAACTTAACAAATGTTGCTCGTATCATTGAAACTCTTCTGGCTTCAAATTCCTCAGATGTTTCACTTGAGAAAGCACCATCAAAACTGCTTTGAATTTTGCTTTAGGCAAAATTTTGATGACAACTGTACTCTGACAACTACAGAAATTCACTAGTATAATTCAACTTCTTTCCACATTTACCACATGTGTGAGATTATCAACAGTTCTGCATGGCCATTCATAATTCCCACCAGCCCAGTGAATTACTTCTGAGTAGACATGTGTAGGATTGCACTATTAGAAATTAGAAAAATGCATGATGTTACATTTTGAATAGGACTGCAGTGTTCATAGCTTTTCTACAGCTGTGTCCAGTGGTATAAATTTGAAAAAACACATTAATACAAAATATGTTGGCTTTAACAGCCACATTTTATATTGCTGGCATTGATCACCTTGCAGCCCTGACATCATCATCATTATTATCAAAAGCAGGAGTAGCCAAAGGATGTCATTCTAAATCATTGCCTTAACATACTGAATCCTTCTAAAATTGTGCTTACATTCCAAAGGTATACATTACTTTGATTCAAAGCAGTCTCAATGTCCTGAGCTAGCAGTCTCACTCATTAAAATATGTTTTATTAAAACATTTCATGAGCAAGTCTCTACAGAGGAGACTTGCTCTCCCCCTCCTGATTTCCTTGAGAAATGAAGATTTTTCAAATGTTCATTCTCATCAAAGAGCTTTTGGGATGTCAATAAGAACATTCAAAACCACTGCTACAGCCAATCCCCTTCACTGCTACTTCTTCTCCTTTCCCAAGGAAAAGCCTTGGCTTAGGGAAGATGGATGGATAGTTGACAGCAGAGGGACTGACATGTGGAACACTTTTTCCAGTTGGAGATCATAGGGGTTGATTTTAAGCGTAACAATTTCTGGGAGAAAATGAACCCACACACATCATTTGTAGCCAATAAGAGGCAATATACAGTCAAACCCCATGATGCCCAGTAGGAAAAGACATCCCATGTGTCATTTGCTGATGAGGAGAGACTCTCCTGTGTAGATGAAACCATTCTCTCCTCCCTTTCCCCAAAGGAATGGTTTTTTTTTCCATTGGAGAAGGGAGAGTGGCAGGGAGTGCTAGAGGTGGTGTACGGGTCCAATGCAAACCCCGATCAAGATGGCCAATCTAAAATGCCATTCAAGCACAGGTTGGTTTGCCTTTTCAAGCACTTATATATTTGGCATATGTCTAGATATTTCTACCAGTGTGTTTTGTTTTTATTATTTAATTAATTATTTTAAAAAAACAAACCTGGAAGTACTCAAGCATTCTGAACAAACATGGTTTGTAGGAAATGTTTATATAAAATAGGGATGAACGAACTACCTAGATGAACACTCAGTTTTGCATACATTCAATCTTAAATTCATTCCGTCCTATTTTCCGTGAAGTTTTTTTAAACCATATGAAAACTTTACATCAAAATAGCACACATTTTTGTATGTGCTTTCCTCATAAATATGCATTTTGTGCAATTTTTATGGATTCCCCTCTAAAATGCGCATGTTTGAACTGAAAGTGCGTCACAAAATCCAGAGAAATACACAACTCAATTGCTAACGAAGGTCCAATCCCTATAGAAATCCAGAACTGTGAATTAAGCCACTTTGCTTTAAAATGTGGACCAAATAAATTTCCCCTCTATCCCTTAAATAATATAATTAAACACATGTTGCTTGTTGACCTTAGAATTCAAAGTTTGTAAGTCCTCAGATCCTCTAAACATTCAGATGCCTTGGCCTATTACTACCCAGTTTTAATTTGTCATCAGAGTAGCTAAATCAATGCAAATTAGAATGGCTGTGACATATTTGCCTTCCCAAGAGATTATGACATCACGGTACATCAGTCTGTGGCATTAACAAAGGTAGGGTTTGAAGAGAGGAGAACACTGCCAGGGGTGTAGGGTGGGGGGTGCAGTTCGCCCCGGGTGTCATCCTTGAGGAGGGGTGACAAAATGGCACACCGTGGGGGGTGGCACTTACCGCGGGGCCTGGCATGCAGCGAACCTGAGCCACACATCTCTTCTGGGACTGACGCGGTGGCTCACGGCCCCACACTGCCTGAAACGGCAGCATGGAGCTTGTGTCGGACTCTGTGGGCAGCTCGTCGCTCCGCCCCCCGGGCAGATCACTGCGGCGCCCCGGTGCATGGATCGCAGTGTCCCCATGTGGCCCTGGGTGCCGGAGCAGCTAGCTACGCCCCTGAACACTGCAAGCATGAACACTACCAGAGTGTTGGTTTTAATTGTTAGTTGAGGAATAGGGGATAAATATTTGAAAACAAATAGAGTAATCAAAGATCAAAGGAGACAAATAGAAAATAATCAGAGAACAAACAAATATTCCAAAACAATGCTGGTTTTTACACAACCTTCAATGAACTCAAGGGCTTGCCTTTCGCTTTTGATCAAAGTTGCCCACTCCTTCCCTACCCATAAAGACTCAAATGATACTCTATATCTACTGTATATAAAAGCAGTCATAACCACCATCACAATATGGAGTTCCTACCTGCAGGACAGTTGCATCGCTGGTGGATGTCTCTAGCTTCCCGATGTCTTGGCATGTTGAACTGTAATCTCTATAAAGTGAAGGCAGGAGGGGAAAGCTACATTAATAATAATGAAACCCAAGACTTGTGCATGTTAGAAAACAGCTTTTGAAAGGAATTCAGCCCAGAAGTGTAGCGAGGAAAAGACATCTGGTCTCGGATCAAAGACAGACAATTGCCTTCAAATTTAATCTCAACATCCGCTTGACTGAAAGCAGGCAGAGCAAATTTGACAGAATTTCTAAATGTGACTCCTTGCTGAAGGGCTGGATTGCTGCAGAAAGGGGCAATTACCCACGCAGGGGAAATTCCATGTGGCAGACACAACAATTTAGGTTTGGGAGCACTCTTCTAAATACAGTAGCCACCATGAGAATGTCAGGCAAAAACGTTCTCCATGTAATAAGACAACCCAATCCAATCACTAATGTTTACACATATTCAACTACCACATCACTTCCCTTAAACCCTACCCCTGTCTCACCCTCAGTCACCATAAATGTAGAATGCAGTTGCAGTTGTGGGGTGAGTACCTACCTGAAAATATTATGGTCTTTAATAGAGAAGACTAATTTCTGACAGCTGCATCTACTACACATACGCCAACCCTCAGTAATAAATCTGCTCCATCAAGTGTTGCTAGTTCTCCTCTACATTATTTATTTATTTTGACAATTTATATACCGCTTAATTACAACAATCTCTTAGCAGATAAGGTTATACAGTGCCAACCAGTATAGACAATATGGAGCTAGGCAGACCATGGATCCGACTCAGTATAAGGCAGCTTCCTAGAACATTTAGAAAACTGCATCAGATTCATGTGCCACGGCCAATGCAATGGCACACTATTGCAACTAAGTAAGGAGCTTTGCTTTTTTTTGAACTAACTGACAATATGGACTTGATTGATATATGGAGGACAAAAAACCCCTTAGGTAAAGAAGGAACTTTCTTTTCTGAGGCTCATTTGTCATGGACACGAATCGACCAAATATGGACAACTAGAGGGCTGGCACCTAAAACTAGAAAAGTGGAAATCTGCCCAAAAACCTGCTCCGACCATAACGCCTTGAAAGTGGAACTGAGACTTACTCCAACCGGTTCCTTTAGATGGAAAATGAATGACACCTTACTAAGAGACCAGGAGATTGTGAGGAAGGCCCAAAAAACTTTAAGAGACTATTTTGAAATAAATTTGAATACTACGGTAGAAAAGAGAACAATCTGGGACGCAAGCAAAGCCGTTATGAGAGGGTTTCTGATACAACAAAATACGATTAAGAAAAGACTCTGGAATGGAAAAAAGGAGAAGATCTTGGAGAAAATAAGAGAAGGAGAGAAAAAATTGAGAAGCAAACCAAAGTCGAAGGAGGTGCTGAGAGAAATTAAATTCCACCAAGCACAATACTCGAAACTGATAAATCAAGAGGTTGAATGGAAAATTAAACAAATGAAGCAAAGATCATTCGAATCAGCAAATAAATGTGGAAAACTGCTAGCATGGCAGTTGAAAAAGAGACAAAAATTGAATACAGTTACAAATCTAGAGATTGAAGGGAGAATCGTTCAGAAACCAGAAGAAATAAGAAAGTGCTTCCAGAGATATTTTAAAGAACTTTATGCACAGGGGCCACAGAGAGAGTTTGAAATAGATCAATTTTTAAAAATCAATGGACTATCAAAAATAACTCAGGAAAAGAGAACAATCCTGAATTGCAAAATAACGCAACAGGAAATTGAAGGTGCCATTCAGAATATGCAACTAGGCAAATCTCCAGGCCCTGATGGACTTACCTCCAAATACTATAAGACTTTGAAAGACTATTTGACACAACCGTTGATGGAGGTTTGTAATCAGATTATGGAGGGGAAGAAGGCACCGGAGTCGTGGAAAGAAGCTTTCATCACATTGATTCCGAAAGTGGAAACTGAAAAGACTCAACTTAAAAACTACCGTCCTATCTCACTCCTAAATGTGGATTACAAAATCTTTGCAGACATTCTGGCAAGTAGACTTAAAAAAGTACTGAATGAAGTAATCCATAAGGACCAGGCAGGCTTTCTCCCAGGAAGACATTTGTTTGATAACACTAGGAACATTATTGATATTTTGGAACTTTTACAAACAAATATCAATACGAGAGCAGTGTTAATTTTTATTGATGCGGAGAAGGCCTTTGATAATATTTCTTGGATGTTTATGAAGAAAAACTTGGAAGGGATGGGAGTGGGACGGGGGTTTGAAAATGGCATAGAAGCAATTTATTCTGAGCAAAAAGCTAAACTGATAGTGAACAATGTGGTGACAGAGGAGTTCAAAATTGAAAAAGGGACACGACAGGGGTGCCCCTTATCCCCTCTTTTATTTATTTCAGTCCTGGAGGTGCTTTTGAACATGATTAGGGAGGACCGGTTGGTACAAGGAATACAGGTCGGAGTGAAACAATATAAATTGAAAGCATTTGCAGATGACTTGGTTTTAACATTACAGGAGCCAGAATCTAGTACAAAAAGAGTTTTAGAACTGATTCATGAATTTGGTCGGGTGGCGGGATTTAAGTTGAACAAACAAAAAACCAAGGTTTTGGCTAAAAATTTAACACTTACAGAAACGGATGGGTTTCAGAAAGAGACAGAATTAAGTGTTGTTAAAAAAGTGAAATACCTGGGGGTTCATTTGTCTGCTAAAAATTTGAACTTATTTAAAGACAATTATGAAAAATGTTGGGTAGAAATCAAAAAAGATTTGGAAATTTGGTCAAAACTGAAACTTTCCTTGTTGGGTCGAATTGCAGCTATAAAAATGAATGTATTGCCGAAAATGTTATTTTTGTTTCAGGCCCTACAGATTGTGGACAGAGTGGAATGTTTTGGAAAGTGGCAGAGGGACATCTCCAAGTTTGTCTGGCAGGGCAAAAAGCCCCGAATAAAGTTTAAAATATTAACTGACTCGAAAGAAAGAGGGGGGTTTGCCCTGCCAGACTTGAGGTTGTATTATGAAGCTGCAGCCTTCTGTTGGTTGAAGGATTGGTTTTTGCTGGAGAACATTGATGTCCTAGATCTGGAAGGGTTTGACAATGCTTTTGGTTGGCATGCATATTTGTGGTACGACAAGGTCAAAGTTCATAAACTGTTCAAAAACCATATTGTCAGAAGAGCAATATTTATGGTCTGGATGAAATACAAAGACTTATTAGAGGGCAAGACCCCGAGGTGGCTATCACCGGTGGAGGCCAAGGCCCGAAAAAGACTCAACATGGAGGCCTATTGGCCGAAATATTGGGAAATAATTGGAAAAACTGGAGACAATTGGAGGTTGCAGAGCCAGGAGAAATTAAAAAATAAGGTGCGAGATTGGCTACACTATGCTCAAATTCAAGAGGTTTTTAAAATTGATAAAAAAAATTGGTTTCCAGGTGGAAAAATCGAAATTAGAGACGGAATTGTTAGAACCAAAAACTAAGATACTTTCGAGAATGTATAACTTGCTGCTTAAATGGAACACACAGGATGAGACAGTAAAATCCGCCATGATAAAGTGGGCACAGGACATTGGGCACAACATTATGTTTGAGGACTGGGAAAGGTTATGGAACACCGGAATGAAGTTCACGGCATGTAATGCCTTGAAGGAAAACATTATGAAAATGATATACCGGTGGTACATGACCCCAGTCAAGCTTGCTAAGATATATCACTTGTCTGATAACAAATGTTGGAAATGTAAAGAGGCGGAAGGGACATTCTTTCATCTCTGGTGGATCTGCCCAAAAGTGAAGGCCTTCTGGGAAGTGATTTACAATGAGTTAAAAAAGGTATTTAGATATACCTTTCCTAAGAAACCAGAGGCCTTCCTCCTGGGCATGGTAGACCAGAAGGTGTCAAAGAAGGATAGATCTTTGTTCATGTATGCTACTACAGCAGCAAGAATCCTCATCGCAAAGTATTGGAAGACACCAGATTTACCCACGCTGGAGGAATGGCAGACGCAGTTGATGGACTACATGGAATTGGCTGAAATGACTGGCAGAATCCGAGATTTGGGAGAGGAAATAATGGAGGAGGACTGAAAAAAATTTAAGGACTATTTGCAAAAACATTATAAGTTGTATGAATGTTAAGAATGTGTACGATTAGGAAACTTTTGCTTCAGCAACTTGAATAGGTGAATTGGAAACTAAGTTATAAGAAAGACGAGGTGGACAATATGAAACAACTATACTATGTTTATTTTTAAGGTACAAACAACGGAGATACAGTATTTTGAACTTAGAAACATAGTATTTGAAAGATACAGTAAGATATGAAATAAGGTGACAAATTGCTGATGTTTTAATTGCAAAGAACGCAGGGTTCGGAAGATGTGGGGAAGTCCAGTTGGAATGACAAAAGTATTTTGGAAAGTTGGTTTTTATTTATCTCTTTCTTCTTTTATTTTCATTCTTTATTCTTTATTCTGTAAACTCCTAACTGTTGGAAAGAAAATTTAATAAAATATTTTAAAAAAAAAAAAACTGCATCAGATTCATGTGCCACGGCCAATGCAATGGCACACTATTGCAACTAAGTAAGGAGCTTTGCTTCAAATCCACCATGTATCATATTCACCTTTTCTTAGCCATGTACCTGATAAGAGGAACCAACACTGTCAGAAATAGGAACCTATCTTTAGCCTCCTTGATCTGTTTTTAAGACTCAGTATATGGTGACCTGAATTTCCTAAGTACTGTACTGAGATGCTCAGCAACACACACAAACTTAACCACTTCAGACTCGGAAGGAACGGCTGTGTTATCATATCATTTATTAATCTGGCTACAGTCCAATGCAGAGTTACTCGGGAGAAAGTCTTGTTGAATTCAATAGGGCTTACTTCCAAGTATGTTTAGGATCAGGCCATAAACCTGCAATCCCTAGCATATTTCTGCTAGAAATTAGGTCTCACTGAATTCAGTGGGACTTAATTCTAAGTGAAAATGTTTAGGGCTTCAAATAGATTTGAAGCCAAAATTCAGAAAGTTTACATA